ACACTTGCTGCAGATGTGATCGCTGTAGTTCGTAATAGGATCAGCCAGCTCCCACGTCCAGCTCCCAGCTTAGACACTATCTTTCCAACTCAGATCCAAAGTTGCTTGAGCTGTAAACACTTGCTACAAATCTGTTCACTCTGGATCATCCTGATGTCCAACATCGTACATGTGCTACACAGCAAAACAGCGCCTGTCTTGCCATTGATATTAAATTATGTTTGATTTGTTAAATAATTATTCTCGTAACCCTGCTCTGTACACTTGAAGAATCCCCCACTCTTTACACTTCATTGTTATTATTTTTTGACACCAGTATCAATTTTATACTTAACAACTTATTTATAAGAAAACAAGAGGAGAAAAAAGAGATTAGAGACCTAAAAGCAACATAAAGACCTTACTTTTACTTCAATGACTAAAGATACTCATCAATCAGCAGCTTCCCCTACATCTGTGTTTCGTTGTAGTTTGTGAGGTCGTTTCCGCTGGCCTTACTGCAGGTAGATCTCTTGATCCACGCCTTTTATTCTCTCCTGCTTAACTCATTCTCCAGTCACAGGCCACACCTTTTAACCTCTCGCTCACTACTTGTTCTGGAAACATTAGTTCTTGCAATAAACCTTATTAAATCACCTCTTTCCCCCTATACACTGAGTTTCCACTTTGAACCAAATTCCCGGATCTATTCATTTGGCCTCTGTCTGACTAAGGTGAAATCTCCCTTCCGCTGACTCTGCTCACACTGACTGAAGCATATTAGCAGAATGGAGATGTTTAACATTTCATTGATATAAGTTAACCTTTCAAGATCACTTAGCATGTTTAACGGTAGTTATGGAGCTAATGCACTGTTAAAAGCCCTCCTTCAACGAAGAGCAGCTTTTTCAAATGATTTTAGAGTGAGACCATGATTGCAATTGAGATTGTAGTCAATGGGAAACTCTAGAGATGCCATATTAAGACTGACTGACAGCAACATCTGGATTTATGCGTTATGTTTTGTACAGCAGGCCCCACTCTTCCCTGGCCCTTCCATTATGACTTAACCACCCTTGTACTCCACTGCACTTTCCTTCCTATCCTGGGGCAAGTCCCCTGAAGCTGTGTTTGTCCTGGGCTTCTGATACTTTGAATCTGGGACTGCCTGTAACCCCAGATGTAGACACTGTTCTCAGTGGTACTGCTGGGACTATACAGTTATCAGGCAGGTCTCTGAGGTGGACTTACTCCCGAATGAAGCGGAAGTCCTGTCACAAGCCAATTAACACTCAAATAAACATTAAATTGTTGTGTGGCTGCTGACATTAGCAAGGATGCTTTCCCCACTAATGTTTTAAGTGGTGGGGCTGGAACCCACACCATCCAAAGAATGCAGCCTTCTGAGATATTTATTACAATATGGCATGGGTCTAACTACTTTATTTTCTAACAGATTCTTCAGTTTGGCCAATTGCCCCATATGCACCCATTGTGCAAAATGTTAAATCTGTGTCCTTCTAGCTCTTGAACCCCCTTTTCTTGTCTATATTTTCAAAACACATAGACTCCTGTACAGTTCGAACCTGTCTTCGCTCAGTCTCCCTTGTTTCCACAAATACAACACCAGCTTCTGTAATTAGCACCTAAAATTCCTGATTCTTGAACCATTCTGGTAAATCTCTCTGCAACTGTCAACAACTTTCTCAAGTACAGTGATTAGAATTGATTGAATACTCTGCTGTGGCTGAACCAGAGCTTTATAAAGATTCAGCATATCTTCAGTGCTTTTACACTGTTTGCATTTATAAAGCCCAAACTCCCATGTGTTACTTATTATGTCTGCCATCTTCAAAGATCTACACTCATGAAGCCAGAGTCCTTCTGTGCTTGCATACTCTTTAGAACTGTGCTATTACCCTGTATTGTCTCTTCTAATCCCTTGCTGAATGCATCATTTTGAACTTCTCTGTTAAATTCTATTTGCCACTTACTTGCCTGACAATTCTGCTGTTCTATCTCTATGTCCTTTTGCAATCAATTAGCATCATTCTCACTGTTTGCAACACTTCCAATTTGGTATTATCTGTAAGTTTTAAAATTTTACAAAAGCTCCATTTTATCATGACTTGCTGTTTTCTAAACTTAAGACATTTTTTTTAATTCAAACTGACACTGTTCTATTCCATCAAGTTCTGTTTTGTTAACACGTCTTTTATGTGGTACTTTGTCAGAAACTTTCATAAAATCCGTACAGGAGACAGTTTCCATTGCAATTCTTTTGTCAAGCTTCTCTATTTCTTCATCAAAAGATTGAATTACAGTAGTCAAGTACAACCTATCTTTTACAAACAAGCATAGAAAATTCTGCAGAAACTCAATGAGTCTGGAAGCACCTGTAGGAAGAGAAACCGAGATAATGTTTTGAATCCAGTATGACTCTTCCACTGGAGGTTTTGTTGAAGTTCTGACTAGGGCTGACAACTTCAGAATTTAAACTTTAGTTTACAGTTTATTGTAAATATGTATGTAAATTGCAAACAAAATTGGATTTGTACAAAATTCTAAATCTAGAATTTATTACCTCAGAACAGTAAACATTCAATCCTAGCTCTGAACATTACGCTGAGATTAGATCCATTGCATCCTACATTCTTTATGGTTCAATCCATTGTTTTATTCAATATTGCACCTATCAAGAAATCCATTTCTAGCATTCTGTGAGAATGTAACCTTAATGGTGCACACTCAGTTCCAAGGATGCTACATTTGACTGTTTCAGAATGTTAATAAAATTCAATCTTGCCCAGCAATAGAAAGTGGTTTATTTCGAGTTTTCAGTAGGTCACTCAGGTTTAAGATGAGTTCAAAGATTGCAGTCAATGAGTAAGACACAGAAGCAGAACCCATGTTAAGAGTACCCCAATTAGCTGTACTGCTGGGAAAGCAGCTGAACTACGCAGGTGTTGTGTAGAGGACTCAATGAGGAATCAAGAGAAACTGAATTGCCCTGTGCTTTTAAAACCTATGAAGCAATTCCATGAATTAATAGGTAGCACAGTGTTGGAGTCAGGACTCATAACAAGTCCAGAGAACTGAAAACGTGGAAAGGTTGCTATGTGTTGTGGAAAGCTGGGAAGAGCTCAGAAGACGTCTGCAAGCATTAATGCTTCAGTGCATCTGATAGAGTGGGAGTTGAAAAGCTCACAAGCAGTATGTGCTTTGTGCAACTAAGCAAGATTTGGAGCTTGGTGAGAGAGGAGAAACGCAGTTGGAACTTGGAACTCAAGACTTGGGGTTTTGCTTGTGAATGAGTACTGTATCAAAGTCTGGGGAACTTGGTCATAGTATAGAATCATAGAATCTTACAGTGCAGAGAGACATCTTCCAGCCCATTGAGTCTATACCAATCTTCTGAAGAGATTCCCACACCCCACCATCCCCTTAACTCTACATTTACCATAACTAGCCAACCTAACCTGGACACTACGGGGCACTTTGGCATGACCAATCCACTTAACCTGCACATCTTTGGACTGTGGGAAGAAACTGACGGAAACCCACACAGACACGGGGAGAACGTGCAAACTCCACACAGATGGTTGCCTGAGGGTGGAATTGAACCTGGGTCCCTGGCATTGTGAGGCAGTTGTGCTAACCACTGATCCACTGCGCCACCGCCTCCATGGAGGATGTGGCTCAGAATAGTCAAGGGAATTCTTTCTCAATACAGCCATAATGAGTCAGGTTGCAGGAGGTTGTGGAGGTTTTGGCTTTAAGGACAAAATGTTCCCTTATACTTTCAATAGCTCAAATAAACAAATTAATATTTGAGGGCTACTCGGGCAATTGCTTGTAGATAGTGGCTGATGATATGATTTGTGCTCCAGATACTTTGGTAAAACGGGAAGTGTTAATATGTTGGCTACATGGAATTTATTAACCTGGCCCCTTGTACAAAATGAATTTACGTAGCAACTCAGCAGGTAGCATTGTTCATGTAGGAATGGTACCTAGTTTATCTCTTGAAGTGGTGGGTTTTAGCAATGATTGGACAGGCATGGAATTCTTGGCAAATCTGAGAGTTTAAAGAAAGACAGTTGAGGTGTTCAATCACAGTCTATTATCCATATTTATCAGATGTTAATTCTGGATGTTAGAAATAAGTTGTCCAGGTATTACAGATTGTACTGTTCTAATGATGTGTAGTAAAGTTTATTATTCTTTGTTAAAAGCCATGGAATTTTGTGGCTTTATTCTGTTAGTAAGTTCTGGGGATCTTGTGTTTAGTTTACTTTAAAAAAAAGTTACTGTTCTCTAGATCAGTACATAAATTTGGTCTGGGATCTCAATACACCTCACTGTCTGCGGCTGTATCTCGTGCTGCGAGACGTCAGAAATGAACCGGCAGAGTATGTCCTGGAATTCAGTCCAGTGTTGCACTGAATTCTTTGGATTTTGAATCAATTCTGTACTGTATGGTCTGGCGTTTGACTTAGGTTCTATTGTGTACTCTAGGGTTTGATCAAGCACATCATATACTCTGCGGTTTGATCCAATGCTGCAGTGTATTGTAGACTATGGTGCTAAATTCTATGTTCTACTGCACTTCCTGGGACTAGATTCGGTGTTGCACTTTGGTCTCAGGTTGGATCTGGTGCTGAAAAGTGTGCTGTGGGGTTTGATCTAATTCTGCATATGTACTTTGGGTTATGTCCAATTCCGCACAATACATTTTGGTGTTAAATCTACTGCTGCACTATATTTTCTCCCTGAACAAGTATAATGAAAATGCATCCTAATCTGATACCTGGAATATTGAAAATGGAGAAAAGTGGCTAATCGTCAACCTTGTGTTTGCTAGTTAATTTGTTAATCGGATCTGTGTAATGAATATAAGGTGTGAACATACGAACTTCACAGGTGCCAGTCAGTGTCATGTTCTATGCGGTCTTTGCACAGCTCAGAGATTAAAAAAAGTGAAAATAAGAATGATATTGAAGTTGTGTGCAAATTTGCAGGTCTCCTGATGGGATACTGACTTGTACAGTGCAAGGTTTGTCCATCGCAGACTCTCACCTGGCTGAACTGGAAGGGGATACACTGCACTTGTACGGGTTTGGTGCACTGGAATCTCTGGATCGCAGCTGGGGTGTTCAGGCAGCTGGGACTGTCACAACTGTCTCTTTCATGTTCATAGACTTTGATGAGATTGCAGCAGTGTTACCACGATTAAGGATTAAATTTCCAAATATTTTGGTAAGGATATTCTCATAAGTTATTTTAGTGATTTTCCTACGGAACTATTAGATTTTAGAAATATAAGTTAAGTTTTGGAGATATTGTTTTTGGCCAGTATTGGACACATGTAATAGTGGTGTCATTCAGTTTTGTCATGTCAGCAGCAATCACTCAGTGTTGTGGTCACACATATTATTGAGATCACTCTCAGAAAATGCTGACACATTAATCTGGATTGCAGTGAAAACTTGATGACTGGGTCTATCTAATCACAGAACTGACTTGTAGTAGAAATCAGAATAAAAGTACTGGAAAAATTCAACAGATTAGGCACTGTCTATAAAGAAAAGGTGGTATTGTGGTGCACTGGGTCATATATCTGTCTCTGAACTAGAAGCTCAGGGCTGAAGTCCTTGAAATGCCATCTCCAGCAAGTTACTAGTGTAGCAGCTTCTTGTCCTGGACTATTCTCCCAGAGTTAAGCTCATTGTATTTCACTTGACAACAGCCGTCATGCCTAGATCTACATCCAACATAGTTATTTTATAATTGTTTTGACAGCACTTAAAGTTCCAAGATACAAATCTCCACAAATTGCAGCAGTTTAATGCCCTAGCACTGGGCCGCCGATTAGACCAGCTCACTGTGAGTTCTCAGGGAAATCCAGTGGTGAACTTCAGCCTTTGGAAATACTATGTCCTCTTCAGGCTCAACCATTTCTGTCTACAAAAAATAAATGATATGGAGGTAAGCATTCAAATACCAGAATTCTACTTAATGGATTGAATTTTGTTTAAATTGCTTTGCCAAATACCATGCATATCTTTGTAATTTGTACTTGGAGTCTGATCAAATAATCATGCCTGTCCCCCACTATCTGCATCCTGGGCGGGGGGGGACCAGTGACTAAAAACAGAACTGGACTTACCATATAAGTATAGTGGCAACAAGAGCAGGTCAGAGACGAGGAATACTGCAGTGAGTAATTCACCTCCTGACTCTCAAAGCCTTTGTACCATGTACAAGGCATGAGTCAGGAGTGTGAAGGAGTACTCCCCAGTTGCCTGGATGAATGCATTTCCAACAACACTCAAAAAGCTTGAAACCAGTCAAAACAAAGCAGTCCGAGTTGAGGATTTTGGGAAGGAGATAGAAAGGGGTGGTGCGTGGTTGGAGAACGATGAGGTTGGAGGCTGTGGGTGGGAGGTCTCCTGAGGTGATGAGGGGTCACCGGACCTGAAACATTAACTCTAATTTTTTCTTCACAGATGCTGCCAGATTTGCTGAGCTTTTCCAGCAACTTCTGTTTTTGTTCTTGATTTACAGCATCCACAGTTCTTTTGGATTTTAAAGCAGCCCGTTTTATTGGCACCACTTCCACAAACATTCAGTTACTGCATCAGTAGCAGCAGTGTGTACTATCTACAAGATGCATTGCAGAAATTCACCAAAGATCTTTAAACAGCACTTCCAAACCCATAACCAAATCCATTTTGAAGGAGAAGCGCAGCAAATACATAGGAACATACAAACCGCAAGTTCCCCTTCAGAACACTCACTTTGTAAATATATCATCATCCCCTCACTGTCACTGGGTCAAAATCTTGGAAGTCCCTCCCTAATGACATTGTGGGTATACCTACAGCACATGGATTGCAGCAGTTCAAGAAGGTGACTTAGTACCACCTTCTAGAGGGCATTAAGAGTGTACATGAAAACTTTCTTGTTCAATATGTGGATATACGTACGAGAGGAGGAGCAATACTAAACCTTCTGTTGGGAAATCAAGTGACTAAAGTGTCAGTGGGCAAGCACTTTGGGGTAAGTGGTCATAATTCTATTAGTTTTAAAGTAGTTATAGAAAAGGATAGAACTGCCCAAAGAGTTAAAGTTCTAAATTGCAGTAAGGCTAATTTTGACAGTATTAGACAGGAACTTTCAAAAGTTGATTGAAGGAAGCTATTTGCAGGTATAGGAACGGTTGGGAAGTGGGAGGCCTTTAAAAATGAGATAACAAGAGTTCAGAGACAGTATGTTCAGTGACAGGCAGGCGCCAAATCTCTGGCACCTTCTACTGCTCCCTCGATTATGACCCCACCTCTGATCACCAAGCCATCATCTCTCAGACCATCCATAACCTTATCACCTCAGGAGACCTCCCACCCACAGCCTCCAACCTTATCGTTCCCCAACCATGTACTGCCTGTTTCTATATCCTTCTCAAAATCCTCCAACCTTCTCTACTGTATCCGTTGCTCCCAATGTGGCCTCCTCTACATTGGTGAGACTAAGCGCAGACTCGGGGACCGTTTCATGGAGTATCTGCACTCTGTATGCGATAATTGACAACACCTTCCAGTCACTAACCATTTTAACTCCCTCTCCCACTCCCTTGATGACATGTCCATCCTGTGCCCCCTCCAGTGCCACAATGATGCCTCACGCAGTACCTCATATTCTGCCTCAGGAACCTACAGCCGATGGCCTGAACATAGAATTCATCAGTTTTAAAATCTCCCCACCCCCGGCCTCATCCCACGCCTTATTCCTGCCTCCTTGACCTGACACAACCTGTCCATGTTCTTCCTCACCTGTCCATCCCACCCTTCCCACTGACCAATCCCTACTACCCCCCACCTGCATCCACCTATCACTACCCCACCTATCTTCACCCAGCCCCACCCATCCTCCCTCTTGCCTCCTTGTCCTGACACAACCTGTCTATCTTTTCTCACACCTATCTGCCCTATCCTTCCCACTGACCAATCCCCACAAACCCCCTACCTGCATCCACCTATCACCATCCCACCACCGCCCAGCCCCACCCCTCCTTCTATTTATTTCCCAGCTCCCTTCACCTCTTCCCAGTTCTGAAGAAGGGTCCCGACCCGAAATGTCGACTGTCCTACTCCTCTGATGCTGTCTGACCTGCTGTGTTCCTCCAGCTCCACACTGTATTGACAGTATGTTCCTGTTAGCATGGAAGGCAAGGCTGGCAGGTCTAAGGTATGCTGAATGACTAGAGAAATTGAGGCCATGGTCAAGAAAAAGAAAGAAGCATATGTTAGGTACAGACAGATTCCCTAGAGGAGTATAAGGGCAGTAGGATTATACTTAGACTTATAGAATCTCTACAATATGGAAGCAGGCCATTCAGCCCATTGAGTCCAATTGACCCTCTGAAGAGCATCCCACCCTGTCCCTGTAACCCTGCATTTCCCATGGCTAATCCACCTAGCCTGCATATCCATAGACACTAAGGGCAATTTAGCACGGCCAATCCACCTAATCTGCACATAGAGCATAGAATGTAGAACAAAGAACAGTACAGTACAGGTCCTTCGGCCCACGATGTTGTGCTGACCTAATATCCTACTAAGATCAATCTACCCTGCATACCATACATTTTACTATCCTTCATGTGCCTATCCAAGAGTTGTTTAAAAGTCTCTAAAGTATCTGACTCCACTATCGCTGCCGGCAGCGCAGTCCACACGCCCACTACTCTCTGTGTGAAGAACCTACCTCTGACATCTCCGCTATACCTTCTTCCAGTCAGCTTAAAATTATGCCCCCTCGTAATAGTCATTTCCACCCTGGGAAAAATTCTCTGACTATTCACTCTATCTATGCCTGTCATCATCTTGTAAACCTCTATATTCGCTCCAATGAAAAAAGCCCTAGCTCCCTCAACCTTTCCTCATAAGACTTGCCCTCCAGTCCAGGCAGCATCCTGGTAAATCTCCTCTGCACCCTCTCTGAAGCTTCCACATCTTTCCTGTAATGAGGTGACCAGAACTGAACACAATATTCCAAGCGTGGTCTAACCAGAGTTTTATAGAGCTGCAGCATAACCTCACGGCTCTTAAACTCCATTCTCCTGCCAATGAAGGCCAACACACCATACGTCTTCTTTACAACCCTATCAACTTGGGTCGCAACTTTGAGGGATCTATTAATGTGGACCCCAAGATCCTTCTGTTCCTACACACTGCCGAAAATCCTGCCATTAACCCTGTATCTTTGGACTGTGGAAGGAAACCAGAGCATCAGTTGAGTTGTTTGCACGGTGTAAAAAAAAAACTCAAACTTTTTAACTTGAGCATAATATCTTATGTGAAGTCCACATTTTTAAACAGATCACTTCTTATTGAAGTGGGTCATCTTGCAACAAGCCCTGTTTGACATTTTCTACACACTTCAGCTATAGTTTTTGCATCATAACTCATTAGACCTGAGAGTTGAAAATGGCACAACAAGCAAGTAGTGAAGGCAACAAGATGTCCTCAGTGAATAGTGGGATCAGTAGTCTTTTGCTTTATCCAAAATATATGAATTAAAACCAAAAACAATGGATAGATACAGCAGGATCAGACAGCACAGGGTCAGAAAGAATGATATTTCTTGCAATTCTGGTAGTTAATAACATGTGCTCAGGCTGTGTGTGCGATCTGTTCTCTTCCTGGTTCGTGTTTCACAAATTGAAAAATTCTATGATAGCAACTGTACTCCATTTTCCACCGTCCTCCGTCTAATGCTTTAAGGGTCCAGTAGCATGATCAGCTTCTCCCACCAAGGCCTGATCATCCAGACACATTCTGCAACCAGGCAGCTGTTTAAAAAAACTGCATGGTGTTCAATACAACCTTTCAATACCTGGGATGGGAGAGGAACAAAACAGAATTTGTCTCTTTTTTAAATAAAAATTAGGAGGGAATTCAGGCGGGGATAAAGGAAACATGAGATAGCTTCGGCAAATAGAGTTAAAGAGAATCCGAAGAGATTCTTTAATTACATTAAGGGCAAAAGAGTAACTAAGGAGAGAATAGGACCCTTAAAGATTTACGTGTGGAACCACAGGAGCTGGATGAGATATTAAACGAATACAGTTGGTTCTGCTATAACACGTGTTCTAGCTCCATGAATTGGCTGTAACATGACTGACGAATAGGGAAACTCTATTTTTAAAACGTGAACTTGAGTTAGCTATAATGCAGTTCCATTGGTGCGCGGAAGAGTATGTGTTGACATCACATAATCGTTTTGCGGGCTTTGGCCTGAGCATGCGCACTGTTAGCGCTGAAAGAGTCTCTGTGCTGGCATCACATGATTGTTTTGCGGGTTTTGTACTGAATACGTGCAATGTTAGCGCTGAAAGAGTCTCTGTGTCAGCATCATGTGATCATTTTGCAAACTTTGTTGTGAAGTGCTTTCTGTGAGAAGTACAGAATTCCAGGCTTGAAGGTGGCAAAGGATTGTATGATTGTGCTGCTGGGTGCCAATGCCAGTGAAGACTTAAAGCTTAAGCCTGTGGTGGTGTACCACTCTGCCAACCCACAAGCCTTGAAAGGTTACCTTAAATCTACTCTAGGCGTTTACTTTTGGTCAAGCAAAAGAGGTTGGATGCTGGGGAAAATTTTTTCTGACCTTATTGTTGATGTTTTGGAAGTTGTTTTTAGGAAGTATTGCAGGAAAGATAATTTGGATTTCAAGTTTCTCCTCACCCTGATTAAAGCGCCAAGCCATCCTCCCACCATTGGTGAGCTTTCTGAAAATATCAAAATATTATTTCTACCCTCAAACACAATCTCTCTCCTTCAACCCATGGACTGCAATAGCAGCTTCTAAAGCTTATTATTTAAGGTGCACATTTAAGAGGTTTATTGCAGCCACTCAGGGGGATAAGGACAGTGCTCTTCAATTTTGGAAGAGATTTAACATCAAGAATACAATTGACGCTATAATGT